GCCTGAATTGAAATCTCTCTTTTTCACAGGTACCAATTGTTCTCGTTGCAAACAAATGTGACCTTTACGCTGACATTATGGATTGGAAAGTTAGAGGGTCCCACCAGTACGCCTACACTCATTCGATTCCCATTATGGAGTGCAGTGCTAAACGGCAGACGGAGGTGCTTAGGTATTCGTACTCCCGTCCGTTGCATAATTAGCCTGCTTTAGGTAGCCGAGGCGTTCAAAGAACTTCTCGAAAGACTTCGTGATGAGAACAGGATAGGGATCACCAATTTAGTGAAGAGAAGGTACGGATGATTTTTTAGAGGGGTTTTGTCTCTGCTCTCCTCCTCATCAAATCGTTTCCAGACAATCCATGCCGAGTACCCGAGCTTACAGTGGTATCGATGTGGCGGATGTGGAAAAGCTGAAAAGCAAACAAAAATCGAGTTGTGTGATCTCCTGAGATCTGATTCTGTGTTTTGACTACGAATTTCTCTCCGCTCAAACTGCTTGCCAATCACTACTAGACATCCGCTAGACTACTGATGTGCATATTCTCTTCAACCAACATTCTAATGATAGTGACGGGTGCAGAAAGCTTTACTATAGAAATAAATATTGAAAATCTGTGGTCTGAGTTGTGCATGGTTCTATTCTCAAGCATTGTGCCGTTTTTGGGCATTTGCCTGCAGTCGGGCAATCTCCTACTGGGGTACGTCGTGAAATGCAGAAGTACCCAGATTATGCCGACATGACCGTGACATCACCATGACTAACAATGATATACGTTCGAATTACCTTTCCGGAAGTTATTCTAACCCATGCTGGTAAAAAGGAACAGAGGGATGGCTGATATGAGTGAATGAGGTAATAGTTATACACGGGCTTTAGAAGAGGTGGTATTTGCGAATCTCCAAAACGAAGTCCCAACACGCAGAAATTATAACCTTTTGTGATCATTGTAGAAATACGGCTTTTAATCTACAGCGAACGATGAGTGATAAAAGTGAAGAGAAAACCATGAAGTTTGAAGATGAAACGACAGAAGGAGCGGAACAAAACAGATTTTTCTATATCATCAAGGGCCGTAGCAGAGCAGAGGAGCGAAACTAGGGTTGAGGTGAGTATTTATAGGTAGAGCTTAAACCAAAGAATAGATTTATGCAAAAAATTACTGGAAAATTATGTGAGGAAGCGGTAAATTGTGATTCTGTTGGGTCTAGCGCAACCTCAGCGTGCTCTTAGCTTGTGCGGGAGCAACCTAAAATAGAAAAACACTTACAACTCCTTCCATTCACATAATTTTCCACAAATTTTCAAACTTCCATTTTGATTGTTTGCGAAGCTACAAAAGAAATTTAATGGCTCAATATTGCTTGGCCGTCGTAAACAACTGGTTTATGTATTTGTGCATAGATAAAACCTCACATGTCATCGCCCAATTAGTGTGCTAATTTTGCTGCATCAGTGTGGCCATAAAAGCAATACGATCTCCTCGTTTTTCTGCTATAGTTGCCTACAAAATGTTGCGTATGTACGCTAAACCGCGGAGGATTACATTCAAACGTTTGGCGTTCTGAAGAGATTTTGGTAAGGATACAGCGTTTCCTTGAAGGCAGTGGACAGGCAAAATGGACCCCTGTCGGATTTTG